TATCCTGAACCGTAAACGATCCCTTTTTTAGTTGGAGCTCAAGATAAATAAGTGACGTTCGCTGGTATACGCGAATAAACAATATGATAATGATATCTAAATGATTCCACTTGGCTTTTGTTAGCGGGGATTAGTGAATTAGATACTCAATGAAATTTATGCAGATAGTTTTCTTTGCCCTCGCCGACTTTTGTGTGTGTTTTTTTTAAGTGGTTTGTTTTTCTGAAACGACCCTGATCCTTCTAGAATGATTTCGTTTACAACCATTCAAAAAGTCCACAACAGGAGTTTTGTTTTACGCGTTTTACAACTATTAAAAAGGTCGACGCGCTGTTCGCGGATTTTCTGTTTAATTTTGCACGCGATTTTCGCGTTGTTCTTGCAGTAAACAAAACCAGCGCCTTGCTAAGAGGGTTTTAATTCGCAAATAATGGAACTTATTCATGACACACGATATTGCACTGTTACCTTATCATACCAACTAAAGTTACCACGGAACTGAATCGCTTTGTGATGTTTGTTTTAAGGGTGTATATATTTTTCATTGTTCGGAAATATTTCGCACCACTTTGAAGACCCATGCTGATCTAAAATCCTTTACGACCTTCGGACTTCAGCCTCAGTTCGAATAGAAAAACTAGTTGGAATAGTCTAAGTTAATGGGGCAATTTAACAGCTGCTAAAGCATTTTAACCTTTTCGAAAAAGTATGCCAAAAGCGGGATGTTTCAAGTCGACTAGCTATCACGCTAACGGCTGAAACACAACCAGAACTAAAGCCGTAAACGACGCCAAAATTAAAGTCGGATAGTTCCTGCCAGTATGTATAAAAATCTACCCTAAGCTAATAATTAAATTTTCAAGAATACAATAAAATATTGTCTTCGTGGGCTCATTAAATTTTTATCAATTTCAAAGACACGCCCGGTTAAAATTACGACGGAAAACCCTCTCGAACATTTCTTATTAAATATTCGATAAGAAAGTATGACTTCATAAGTATCAAGAAAAACGGCTAAAGGCATGTTGGATAAATCGCAACTACCGGGGCTATTTTCTAAAGGGAAATGTAAAACAGCAAGATTCTTAAATTACTACAGTCGAAGCTCCTGTAAGCGGACACTCTCGGGGCAGATAAAGTGTCAAGAGTGAACTGGTCGCTTACGGGAATGTGTAAATACAGAGTTTGTATGAACTAGAGTACATATCCTAATTATATACTATTATCCTAAGAAACTCAAACAATAAGACAATTTAGACAGCACCTTAGGGAATCAATATTCATGTTTTATTTTTTACTTGTCCAGCATTTTTAACGTAATAACTAATATAATATTCATTATCATGTCCTGAAGAGAACCCTGAGAGGTTGAAAGTTCTAGACAAGCCAGCGAACTTTTTCATGCTCCGAACTGTTGAAATATATAAATCTAGAAGAAAATGAACTAGAGTTCAAACGAGGTTTTGTCAAGGCGGCCGTAAGTAGAGCTGTCCGCTTACGAGAGTGTCCGCTCAGGGAGCTTCGACTGAACAATGCGTCCGTTGTGACTACCGCAAATTTGACTTTTATAAATAATTTGTTATAATAATTTTTCCCTGATAAATAAAGTTTCTTCCATCACAAACTCTTTACCGAAAAACGTGCTAAACGTCTTATATCCAGACCAACCCACCAAAACATCTTTAGAGCGAACAACCAAATGACTGATTAACACCATACAATTAACGCAATCTTGTGACTCTAGGTATTAGTTCGACAACAAAAGCATACTCTTAGCTTTTTGGCACAGAGGACTAAAGTAAACAGGCACATTGATTTGTGGACACTAGAAAGCTCTAGGAACACACAGAAATGACAACTTTAATACCCATATAAGCAATTTAAGTTCTTTAAAATGCGTAGTGATAGAAGACACGGCCATCTAATGAAATAAAGTGCAGCTAATTAGCACGGTGGACTAATTACATCCTCGGAAACCAAGGGGCATATTACCGAGGCGAGCTAAAGCCGAAATGGGCGATACGAAATCGTGAAGGGAAATCACGACGTTTTCTGCCGATTTTTATCATCTACCGTTTCAGCTTTTGTTCGACTTCGTTATCTGTTCCAGTGTGCCTCGCGAGAGAATCAGTTCTTTTGGTTACGTATACTCGTGCACAAGAGCTTTCAATTGCCTGTTTTTGAATTGTTGATGGTTATAAATAGCCAGGGTTCCGACTCAAAAAAATTCCTGCACTTTTCACCGATCATAAATCAATTTTCACCGATCGTTACTGTTACGAAATGCAACAAAATTACTTTTTTCTTTACTTTTTTCTCTTCAATCTTTTCTTTCTTTTACTCCTATATGGGTGTGAAACGTGAAGATAAGTAAAGGCAAAGAAAAAGAAATTGGATGCCTTCCAGTTTAAATGCTTGAGAAGGATCCTAAGGATCAGATGGCCTATACGAGTGAGCAATGAAAGAATCACCGAGATGACACACATCAACAGAATTGGGGATGAGATAGGAAGACGGCGCTGGAATTGGACGTATTCTTCGTGGAGAGAGATCCAGTGACTGCATGGTGGCGTTGGGTAGACCTAAAACGACCTGAAGGAGGACAGTGGAAGTAACAGTCTGGCGAGACACAACATGCACCAGATGAACATTTATATATTGTGCAAACTTTATTGACACTAATTTAGTATGGATGGAACGACTGGAGCACTGCGCGAGCAGTAGCCAGGGACAGGGTGGCATGGAAACAGAATGTTGCAGCCTTGTGCGCTTACTGGCACGAGGAGCAATAATGATGATGACTTATTTTCATTTCTTTAGTCATGGATTTTTAGTTAGTAAACTATTTTGAGGTTTCCTTCCAGCCTCCTCCTCAGGCGCTTCGCATTTTTTTTTTTTTTTTGCGATTTATGAGCGCGAAGGGCTCGCGACTGGGCACGAGCCCGCGCGAGGGACCATGAGAAGGAGAAAGACGAGGCGCGACCTTTCGCCTTCCCTCCTTCCTTTGCGCGCCCCGCCAATTTCCCCCCATTTTCTTGGAATTAAGAGAGACGTCTGGGTACGAGGTTGGTATGAGAAGATTTGTATTTGTTGCCAAGTTAGACTGTTCACAGCCTCTCTATTTTCTCAGATCGTTGTCGCCGCGAGCGAACTGGAACTGAGCGCGAGCATGGGGGTAGGGGTAGTTCTCCCGCTCCCCACCCCCTCGCTTCTGCTCGCTCGCGCTCGCTATTATATGTTAGGGTCGAGAAAACAGAGAGGATGTGAACAGTCTATTGCCAAGTACGCCACAAAATTCAAATAATTTATAGTTTTCTGACATCGAAACATTAAATTTTACCCATAAACCAACAAGAATACATTACAATACCACAAAATTTCTACTTTATTGTATTTTAACATGTGTAAGGTCATACAGATCGTCACCACAGTACAAGAATCAAACTGACAACAAATTGAACAGTTTCCTTTCTACATGTACAACTTATTATACAACTTCGAACAAAGCATACTAAAAAAGGTTTTGATTACATGTGTATTTGATAAATATGAAATAATACTTGCAGGTATTTTCTGGAAGTGACATTGTACAATAAAATGCATAATGAGCGGTTTCCAGAAAATATCCATACCTACCCCAAGGAAGGTCATTGGAAATTCCAAGGGGGAGGGGGGTCTCAAAAGCAAAAATTTTTAAAGGAAAGTATGAACCTAAACTGGGAGGGAGGAGGGGTTCAAACCAAAAACCTTCCATGTGGGGTACATGGTTGTTGTAATGGTATGGATATTTTCTGGAACCACACAATGTAACTTGCAAGGGCTGCAGGATTAATTTGCCTGTTATTTTACCCAGCCGAAAAATACAGTTGAAAGAACAACAACAACAACAACAAAAACAGCTGCACTCGCAGGCTATAGAAAGAGCTTAAAAGACATCTTTGTATCTATCTATGTTAACTTGTAGCCAATGTTTGCCAGGGATATCAGTAAATAGATGAGTATGATCTAGGAAAAACACAAGATAAAAGACTGATTAGTGCATAGATAGAACTACACATTGATCAAATTACTTTTACCTACATGTGTAGATGATTTTGAAAACTGCCAAACTAATGTGGACAAATGGACGAAGTTTCTTGAATGTAGCATTGTTAATTCCTGTTCAGTTCACAAGAACATTTATTGAATACAGCCCCTCCACCAAATACAGTCCCCTTTCATCGCTCCCCGCTACAATGAGGTAAAGCCCACACAGCGGTCAAACGTAAAAATTGCGCGCCACTTCCGGTTTCCGCGGCCTTGACTTTTCCATGAGTTTGAAGCGTAATGGCCGCGAAGTTTGTAAGGAAACGTTATAGAACATGCAGTGGTAACCAAAATACGAGCTAAGACACTTTTTGGATAACAATTATTACATTATCTATGCACACTCCGAGTATAAAGCTTAAGTTTTCAGTAAATTTCTTAAGTTTGAGCATAAAGCGGACGACTTCGCAATTTTAAGACATTTGACTGCAAAGTTTTGGCGGGAACTGTGCATGCGCAGTACGTTTGACCGCTGTGTGGGTAAAGCCACACTCGGGCCAACAACTGGCCCACGCTGCCAGAGCTTATCCCGGTTTCTGTAGCAGGAAGCGCACCAGAAGTATTGCTACTACTCCTGGTTGGGATGCTAGTTCATCACAGCATTTTGTAGACTGTTCACAGTCCCTCATTTTTTGGCGCTGAAATCGTCGCACCGTCGACCCGCCATCTTGGATTATTTGGCGAGCGAAAAAAAACTCCCTTGGGTACATGGTGTGGGGCACGGTACCAGGGGAGTTTTGTCCTCTCCCCAAATAATCCAAGATGGCGGCTCCACGATCGATGGTGACGGCGCGACGATTTCAGCGCAAAAAATTGAGGGACTGTGAACGGTCTAAGCATTTTGTCGCCAGTACCCATTTATACTCCTGGGTGAAGAGAGGCACTGTGAGAGTAAAATGTCTTGCCCAAGAACACAACACAGTGACCCAGGCCAGGGCTCAAACCTGGACCACTCGATCTGGAGTCCAACGCACTAACCATTACGCCACTGCATTTCCCACCCGCTGCGATAAGAGGTGGCTGTACATGTATTCATGGGCTAAATAATAAGCTTACTTACTCAATGTGTCAGAGTCTTTCATACATCATGTCGCTGTTCTAGTCTTCAGGTCTGTGTGGTGGATTACCACAAGGCTGCACCATTTTCTATAACAACACAAATTTCAGTATTTTTAACTGATCAATTTATTAATTAACTTATAATAAATACAGTCAAAGCTCTCCTTGCGACCACTCTCATAAGTAACCAGGTCTAGTTACAACCACCACTGTGAAACTCCATTTGAATTGTCACTCAAACTCAAACTCTGTAATAAAAAGCTCTTGTAAATGACCACTCCTGTAAGCGACTGCGACCACTTTTGGGAATTACCAACTGGTCTTTCCTTTATTTTTAAGCTCCTGTAAGTCGTCAATAAAAATATTGCTGTGGCTAGAACGACATTTATGAGACATTGTAATAATCTGAATAAGAGAAGTTTTCAATCTCTGTGGATGTGTGACCTGTACATTTGCCACCCTCTTCTGTGATAGTTGTGACCACTTGTTCAAATTCCCCAGGTGGTCGCTTACGAGAGCTTCAACTGTAATTGAATCATTTTGTAGCTAAAAAACTTACCACAAGGAGCCCAAAAGTGGTGACCACAATCAGAAGCCAAGGGAAAGCTTCACTCGGCTCCTGATTGGATAGTCCTGCGCACACAAATGTGAATTAATCAAAAGCGGTCCACACTTTTGGGCTCCTTGCTGTAAAAGATTATAAATTAAATTTAACATTCCAAAAAATACCAGTGCATTACCTCTAAAAGGTTGAATTTGGTTCTGGCTCTTGTTTCATTCTCGACTAAAGCAAAGTAATCCAACAGGTTTATAGTGTCCAATGTAAGAAGCTGAACTGTCTCTGTGCTGATTCACTAGCCACTCGCTGAAAACAACAAACAAGGCAATGAACTTTAGCAATTTAAACATTACTGCGTCTTTCAATAACATGCAAGCTCTGCTCAATCAACAGTTGCATTTTTGTTGCCGTCAATCTAAATCTGGGGGCAAGACCTGGAACACTTAATGTGTGGTTCCAGAAAATATCCATACCCCCCCCTCCCCCCCCCCACGGAAGACAACTGGAAATTCCGAGGGGGTGGGGGGCTTAAAGGCCCAGGAATTCCGAAGGAGAGGGGGGGTTCACGCAGAGCTTGTTTTCCAGAGGGTTCCCTTCTGAACAAACACAACAAATTCGTAAGAAATACTTACGTACTTTGTCTCTATTTTCGAGGAATGAAACCAAGCCAAATCAAACATTCTGGCCATTGTTCTTTCATGTATCTTTTATTTTCTGAGTTTACCGCCTCTCTAATGAGAAAAAATGTCTCTTGAAGTTGCAAGCACGAACCGAACGGGATCAAAATGGCCGACCAAAACTCCTTCCCAGTCCCCTGGCCATTGTTTCTTGGAAAAGCCAGGTTGCTCAGCTTTGTTACGAACACGAAACGATTTTCGATTTTTCCTTCGTCGTGCAAGCGCTAAACAATGGCAAAGTGTCTTGAAAACAAAAACATAATCAGACTTCAAGACAAGTAAGTTAAATTTTTGATTGGAAAGAAAGATATTCTTTCTTTCTTTGGATTAAATTTGTGATTCACGTTCATTGTTTGTTCTTTCTGTAAACTCCTGTTAGCCATGTGCGTGTTGATGAAAGCGATTGGATTGTAACGTATATTTTGCGTAACTGAGTCTTCATTTTTTTAGGTACAAAACCTTTTGGAATTTCCGAGGGGGGTAGGGATCCATGTTTAAAAATACTGGAAATTCCTGGGGGGAGGGGGGGTCATCAAAGACCCCTTGGAACGGAAATTCCTGAGGGGTAGGAGGGTGAAAAACCAAAATGTCTTCCGTGGGGGGGGTATGGATATTTTCTGGAACCACACAATCCAGAGTCCAGTACGCTTAAAAGTGCTACTATGATGAAATTCGCATCTGTCCTATCTAAGCCGTTTTAAAACATTAACAAGTAGTCTGTACGGGACGAAAAATGCCGTTTACTATTTTCAAATGTCTCTTTTCGTTCCAGAGATATTCAAGTTTCTAAAATATGCAAATTAGCGAAGTGATGACGTCATAAACTCAACCGAATTTTGATCAAATACGAAAAAAGGATATCTCAACCAATTTGTAACAGAAATGTTTGATTCTTTGCAGTAAGACTCTACTAGATGTGTTCCACAATATAAGTTTGCCAATTTTGTTACCATGACAACATACTGGGTTCCAGGCCTCCCCGATGTTAAAGGCTTTTCTGGCCATCTTTGGCATTCCATTTTGATATTTGCCAATGATGCCTCATCTACATGATCTGAACAAGCATATAAATGTGTTAGGTCGACTTCTTGGCCTGGTTTAATTTTTCCGAGCTGAAAATCACTAAAATATTGAAAATAGGTTGGAGGGGACTGGAAAAGAGTGAGTTGCCATGGGAACAGATTTTTTTTTAACCGTAAGTGTGTTGCCAGTATAACTATTAGTCTACCAAGTTTCGATGGTCTCTGCAGCAAATTGACCGAGATAGCTCGATTTATATACTTGATATAAAATTGGGTTGTGTCTATGACGTCATCAGTCCCCTAATTTGCATATTTTACAAATTTTTCAAATTTAAATATCTCCAGAACTAATACAGATATTTGAAAACGGAAAACGCCATTTTTCATCTTTCGTGGAATTCTCTATGATACCCCTAAAATTGCAAGGGGTAGAAATTTGATCATAGTAAGCACTTTAAGGTTAATTCCATCCGAAATAGAAGTTTACACTGGGAAGTTTCTGAAACTTTCCCTAGTTGAACATTGGATGTAATGTTTCAAAATATAGAATAAAAAGAATAGGT